TATATATATATATATATATATATATATGTATGTATGTGTGTGTGTGTGTTTATATATATTTTTCATTGTGCATTCCAGACCTTACCTTCCATGGACTATTGTGGAAAAAGGCAACACCATGGGGAGTGTCTGCCCACTTCCTTGGCTTTCACATTCTGGCTTTTCAAATTAGGTTTCATGGTTACCTTTTGCATTTTCTTCAGTAAAAGACCTTTGCACTGGTTGAGGCTGAACACCTCTCCAATGTGAATTCCTCTCCCCTTTTTAAGTGGAGCATGGGAGACTTGCTACTTCAGTTTCTAGCTGCTGGGGTGATCAATTTGAGAAGTTCCTCACTGGTTGTGTGATTCCCCTGGAGAGAGTCCAAGTGTAAATCACAACACATTGGGAAGTAGGATAGAGGTGTCCATGTCAGTTTAGTGCACATTACTCCCTCATATATACCAATTTCCCAGTGATTGGCCAGAACAGGAAGGAATGTTCATTCTTGTTCCTGTAATGTATGGTGAGTAAATGATACAACAGAACACATACCAAACTGTATGATTTGATAATTGCCCTAGCCAAACTATATTTCATATCCAACCAACAGGTTGTGTGCAATTGCTTGATTGGCCATGCATTTTCTGCCCACCCCTGTGACACATTGGCTTTTTTGCCTACCTTTTTTCACTCTTCCATTCACTTGAAGAGTATATCCTCTATGAAATGGATGTGGTCTCCCACAGCTGTTGCTCCCTTTCCTCCTCACTACTAGTGCACATTATTCTTGGTCCATCTAAAATGTAGTTAATCTTGAGTGCAAGTGCTTATGGGGATCTGCTTTGTATGAAGAATGTTTCACCCTCCTATTGGTGGAGGGCTATTGTTGCATGATGATTACATCATGCACTAGTGCAGTTCATCTTAAAACACATGGCTTAGGTGGGAGATAACTCAAGCCTAGTGCCATGTGCAAATTCTCAAAAGCAGATGCACAAGGAATAGCTACTGTTTGTCGAGAGGTAATTATGTATCAGAAATATATTTTTAGGTAAGAAAAATATTAACTTCATAAACACAGATATGTGTTCTGTCTTTCTCTATGTAACGACTAAAAGTTTTTTTTCAAATAAATGAGATATTCATCAATTTGTTTATATATAGAGAAGTTTGACATATCCATTTAAAAAAAAACTGTATTTTCTCATCACATATACACTTAATGTTCATTTATCCAAAACAGATTATTTTGAATCTTCTGTATAAAATTGGCATCCTGTAAACTGGTATAAAGATCATTCTTTGTGTGTTGAATTTACAAAACTTATACAACTATTAATTTTTTGTTATATTTTAAAATCTGTAGCTGATACACTGTGAAGAAATGGATCAGACAGCATGTCAAAGAAACACTGACCAGAAACAGCATAGCACCACTCCAAAACTGACCAAAGTTATTGAAAATCCCATGTACATTGGAGATAGCCAGAATTTTGTGCCACCAAGGCCACCAGCAAGATACCATTCAGAAGAACAAAGACCAGTCTCCAGGCAACAGTCCTTGAAACAAAAGGCTTTAGCCCATTCTAAGTCTTTGAAAGAGTAAGTATTAATCAGAAGTAATTTGTAATCATAATATAAAACATTATCTAAGACGTTCATAATATACATATATATATATATATACATTTAAGTATGCTAATATGAACAATGTCAGTCCCCTAGCTTGATTGAAAAAGGGACAGAGTGGAGTTTAGTTGAAGGAGTACATTTGTGTGCATAAGCTTAAGGATTTCAGCTTTTATCCTTTCTTGGGATTAGCCAATTCTTTACCTTTTTATTAAGATTCAAAATGACCTTCATGCTGTCAGTTTGGGTGCTATTACCAGGTGAGGTAATTATTCATTGCAGAAACTGAAATAGATGATAGTTATCAAATGTTTGTTAAGAAAAAACTTTATATTTTATCTGTTATTTTAACTAAAGAATCTCTGTATGGATTCAGTCCATGTGACCGATCTTGTAACCGGCATAAAAAATTAGGAAACAAATATCAATTGTGCATTTTTCGTTCTAGAATGACTACAGATTATAACACAAAAACACAAATGTTTAGGCTAAATAACTTAAATCTCATAACATTATACATTTATATATTTTTATTGTATTGACTTTTCAGCCGTGCCTGGCTAACAATACAGAAGTAACAATGAGGAGTTGAATGTGAATTCGACCCAAATCTAATAATATAAAACTGATCTTTAGTCTTTACAAAGTGATCTGTCTTGACTGTGTTTTAGTGGATTAGTATTTTGTAAAATACAATCACATTTCAATTATTATACATTATTACTATTTACAAATTAGTTCTTAAGCTTATTTTTCTTGAAACATAAAACAGTAAATAAAGATGTAAAGCAAACAATTATCTCTTCTAGTTACAACTTTTGTACTTGTTTTATTCTTATTTTAGGTAGTTAAGCTTTATAAAATATTGCATGTTGATGATGTGAAACAAAATATTTTTTAGGTTTTATGTACACATTTGAAATAACCAAAAAATCATAAATTACTATAGAATTTCAGTATAATTTATCAGTCTTAGTAACTAAGCTGTATTTAGGTCTAAAAAAATACGAAAGCATACTAAACACTCAGCTTACCAGTTTGAAGTTTGGTTTAGAAAGAACAAAATTACACCGAAAATGACCGAGAAAACCACTAGGGAGACATTCTGAGCTTTTGATTGGTTATTTTCATGTCCTAGACAGATGAAAATTTATATAAGGGAGCATTTACAAAAATGTAAAGAGGTGAGTGGGGCAACTATATTTGATTCAGTACGTGAATGATATCTCAGCAGATAGAGAGATAGGAGGTTCTTATTTTATATTCCAGCTTTTCATTATCAGTAATTTTAATTCCTAAAGCGTACGAAACATGAACAGCTAATTTGAACCAGTGCTACATTCAACATACCACGTGACACACAAAAATTGATGTTTAGTTGTGTTTTTTAATATTTACTTTTAAATTAAGTAATGTATAATACTAAAATCTGAATTATAATCTACAATTTGATACCAAATCTATTGAAATAAGTTCATAATATAGTTATTCGATAAAATTTTGAATGTAAGTCAACAAATGCAATGATATGACTTTTGACCCATGTGGAAAGGGTTAATAGTGATGCCAATACTATGTAGGTGAGAGGGGACATGTTGTATCATACTGCACATATATTGTGACTGTCCTTCATTGGAAAATGCAGTACCAAAGAAAACTTTCAGATGGACAAGCAACAGATATCAAACAAAACAAACAACCATCTGGTGAAGCCAATAAATATTTATTAACAATATAGTGACAGGTGTCTCCATATTCTATTAATCCAGAATTGAAAGCGATTATCATTGAAGTAGAGTTCGAAGTAATCCATAGGTGCCATAAATGAACATTGCAGGCTCATAATTATAATCTATCCAAGCCTAGGGCCTATACAACTGTCTTAGGACTAATGCTAGTAGACTTATTTCTTAATCTTATGAACCTGTCATTCTATCAATTAAACAAATAGCATAAAACCCACATTTTTGGAAGTCATTCCAACTCTCTCTAAGCTTATCCAGCCATCCTCCATATCATGATTGAATTCCCGTCCCAAAAGGTGAAGGGAGGATAATGGACAGATAACAATGTATAACGGAAGAAGAAAATGGGAAAGTTCCAAGGCAGTGAAAAACAACCAAAGTATTAAAGTCCGAAAACCACATAGGAAGAAAAAAAACATCCAAAAGGTGTGAGTAGAATTATAGTATGGGGGAGAAGAAAAGCAAAAACATGATAGGCCAACATACTTAGGAGACAGGCAATACCAACCTTCCAATTGCAAATGTACCCCAAAACAATGAGCATGAACCCCAATATCCAGGTAAAGAGGAAAAACCAAAGAATGACCCAAAGACTAATCCCTTATGAGAGCATGGGTAAAATCCAACAAAACAGGAGACAAAGAGCAAAACTAGCATACCTGAGTAGTCAAGGCTACAAAGAGAAAGGAGGCCTAGGTAAGATCCTCAAAAAGGACATGTGATGGAAAAGCATATTCAGAAAGGGTAATACAAACTGCCCTTATTCACATCCACCCATTCAGACACACCCAGGAATTGGTATGACATCAGGGTATACAGAATTTTGCCAGAAATGGTACAAAACTCGACAGATCATAGCCGATACACCTACAGCTGACACCTGCATTATTGACCCATCAAACGTGGTTGGGGAAATCTACTATAGCAGAAACAGCAGTGGTAGTCATGACCACTTGAAACTATAATGGCAAAACTCACAAAGTTGAAAATACAAAAAAAATCATAAAATGGAGAAGTGATTAACAGATGCATTATTAGAGAGAGGGTGCTAGTTACAATTGGGGCAGTGTCGCACTCTTATTGGTAGAGGGTTGCTGCATGATCATTTGCATGTAGATATGTAGAAAGAAGTGGGAGTTACAAGGCTAGTGGTGAGCAAAAAATTTAAATTTGTGCTGATAAAGAGCAATACTAATTGAGAAAGCTTTTTGTGAGGGAGGTAAGTATTTATCAGAAATATATTTTCAGTTTAGGAAAATATTAACTTTAATCTCGATATGAAAATCACTTTGTACCCAGAGCATTCAACACTGCCACCTACTAATAAACTAATATGGAACTATTTTCAATACTCCAAATATTTTTATAGACCTTTCAGATATTTGGTAAAAAGACACTACACAGTTACCAGCTTTGTCATTAACCTGAAGAAAGCCTCAGTATAGAAGCCAAAATGTTGTTCCATAGTAGAAACAGGCAAGAGCAGTTCATTAAAGACAAAACTGTTGTGTTTACACTGCCTATAATACTCTTGAAACAATGTGTTGTAATGTTGAATCTTTTGTTTTGTTAATTATTTATTTGACCTCAGATTGAAATGAAACTTGAGTTTATACTTTACATTTACAAAAGTGAAGTACGTAGTATTGTGTAAAAATAACGTGTGTTTGATTTTCAGATATGTGAAAAGAGAAACAGTATCATTCTTTGGTTTGAATGACCATGACCCCACTGAAAGAGAAAGATGGGCTGAGCGACGCAATAGGTTGCTTAGCCGGAAATGTGGAGGGCTAAAGGTAAGTGCTGCATCACTGTATTATGGGAATTTTGAATGAAAATGTAAGTAGCTAATGATGAGCATTTCGTTTCATGAAATTACTGCCATCACCTGTACATATTTTGTTAGTGTATTTTGGTGTAAGCTAACAAGAATGTTAAAATCATGAAAAGCTCAAAGAATGTTGCAATAATTACCTGCCGAAATAAGAAGTAATGTCAGAAACTGAAAAATGATAGTTAAATTTGAGTTTTAGATCTTTTACCCTCACAAGTGATATATGATATAAACTTAAATTTTGTTATTTTATCAAAAGGAACTTTTACATCAAACTACATGAAACTCAGGATACAGTTTTAAGTATTTGTAGTGTACAGAAAAAATATATATTTATTTATGAAAGTGCACATAACTTTATGTGCTTCATGCATTGTATGTTTGCTGCATTGAAAATCAAACAATTTTTGTTTTATTACGAAGATAAATATCTAACAATATATGCTTCTCAGTTTTTTTGATTAAGCTATTTTATGTTTGTTATGATATAGAAAATTAAAACTATGACATATCTTTCATTTTGCTAAAGCCAATTTCCATACATTTTTGGTTATAAACACGTATTTATAACTCAAGTACATTTAGTGTAAGAAGAAAATCACTGTTTGCAGGTAAATGTTCAAATTGGTTAACCATGTTTTTCCTGCTGTGTGACATACTGTATTCTATTCTTCTGTTAGATGATAAAACTAATTAAAGTTATGGTTCATTCAGAAAAGTCATATCACAGATTATGCACAAGATACGAAGCTCATCAGACTTATTTTCTTCAAAAATAATTACATCTTAAGTTGTTTTTTTTTTCTAAGACTACAGTGAAAAAATAAGGCAATTACTTACAGATCAGATTTTTCAAAACAAGTAAACAACAGAATTTGTAAAAAAAAAGCTTCATATAAAGTACTAAGCTGTATTTTCAAGTAGTATACATAGATAACTGAATAAATTGAGAAATATCTTTTACTTAAATCTATCAGTACTGCATCTCATTTTGGTTTTCAAAGCTAATATAACTTGAATTATATCATTAGAAAAGTTAAGTTAGCTGAAACTTCTGTACTTGCTACAGGTTTTACACTTCTAACTTTTTTTTACTGTAGCATAATAACAGTTATCATAGACATTATTATTATTATAACTTTTTGGCTCTAATGTATAACTTCTTGAATGGAATTTGCTTATTTTACTAGCCAATGTGATTAGTCCATAATTTAACATAACTCATCTTTGAATGTTGTAGCACTGCCCAGAAGAGAGAAGGCAGCAGTCAGTACCCCATTCCGTCCCAGCTTCCTTACAGTGGGGTTACCAAGGTGATGCTGATGTACCTGATCATGTTAGAAGAGTCACCACTCATCCTTCAGGCCTAGAAGAAAACAAGGCTTCTAAAGATTCCGTTTATAAAATGACATGGAATGGCTTAAGCTTTCTGGCTTTGGTGAGCTCAGTAATAGGATGTTTCTCAAAATACACGATTAAAGTTTCTGTGGCATGATCATGAATTCTCAGTGTTTTTAAATAGATGTATTAAGGGTTATGTCTCTACAGAATTAAATAATAGGAACAAAAAAGAATTTGTATTATTTTTGTAATTATTTTATTATTGAAACAAACATTGCATTGTTCTGTTGTATGGAAAGGAAGGTTGACTTATTGAAAAAAGAAATGCTGGGTTTACTGCTGGAATTTTGTTTTGTTTTTATAACATTATACATTACTTAACTGTTGTGCTGTATTAAAAAGCTGACTAGGCCTGAATTTGAAACATTTCTATGAGCTGTGACAGATATATTTTTAACAGTTCAAATGGTCAAAAACTTGTATTCATGTTTTCTTTATTAATTCTTTCAGTATGGGCTCGGTTCCTGGGACCGACCTTGTAACCATTTTGTGCTTGTTTTAATTCTAATGCTATAATATTTAAATTAGTAAGTAAATGTTAATGAAATTTGGCAGATTATCAGCAATCATTACAATGCTTTCATACGCAAAATATAATTTTTTTTATTAAGTCTTAAGGTTTGTTAAGCAATGTTTTTCTCATGTCTATTTTTTCTTTTCGCATGTTGCTTATGTATCATGCAAAGTAATATTCATTTTAAAATTAAAAATACTTTTATGCATCAAGAAATTTTGAAATTTCACATGCAAAATCTTTATAATGTTGAGATAGTTATCAAACATTTCTTAGTAAAAGCCTTTATATTTTATTTGTTATTTGTCAGTAATTAATCTCTGTATGGGTTCGGTAGATTTGACCAATCTTGCAACCACCATAAAAAAATAAGGAAATAAACATAAATTATGCCTCTTTCATTCCAGAATGAACACAAATTATAACACAAAAACATAAATGTTCAGACTAAATAACTTAAATCTCATAACATTATATATTTATTATTTTTATTATATTGACCTTTCAGCCATGCCTGGCTAATAATACAGATGTTGCAATGACAGGGCTTATGTGCACTCATGTTACCATATCAAATAACATAAAACTGACCTTTGGTTTGTGCAAAGTAACTTGTCTTGGCTGTGTTTTGGTAGACTAATATTTTGTAAAATACAGTCACATTTCATTTATTATACATTATATATGTATATAGATTATTGATATTTTGAAATAAGATATGAAATTTATGTTTCTTAAAACATAGAATAGTAACTAAAAAAGTAAAGCAAACAATTATCTCTTCTAGTTACGACCTTTATAATCAGTTGCAGCTTGACATAGGTTGCTAAGCCTTTAAAAAAATTGCGTGTGGAGAATATGAAACAAAATATTTGTTGTTAGATTTTATATATATATATATATATATATAT